TGATATCTCCCTAAATCACCTGGCATCTTCCACGTATAGCACCTCCTAACGTGATGGTTGAATAAAGTATTCGCGACGGTTAAGTTATGTTTATCGCAAAATTCTATCAGCCTATCTCCCCTATCATATCTATTGCCTAATCCAAAAGAACCTGCTATTGCACCCACTTTACCTTCACCTATTACTGCGTTGAAGTCTCCTACAACTATTAGGTATTCCTGTCCTTTCACTAAACTTAACACGTCTTCTATATCTGCATAAACTGCTGCTACGTCTTCATAAGTGTAAGATGATGTAGGCATGTAGACCTGCACTAAAACCGTTCTTACCGGCTTTGAGTTTAATTTAACCATAACTATTTTATCGCTTTTTTGTAAAAAACTTTCTACACTCTGCCGTACTTTCCTACGCATTACAATTCCTACTCCCGAATTACCTTCCACCGATCCTGTATGTATTACTCTGAAGTCTCCACTCCAGAAGTCTCCAGCTTCGGGCCAACGAACTTCACTAATACCTACTATATCTAATTCTAATCTATCTATCATTAGTGTTACAACAGACCTTTGCTTTCGCTTCCGCAATTACGGAAGTTCCGCATCACATCCGCTTCCGCATTAGGCTCCTCATTTTTATAACGGAACTTAACAAAATCTTGTTTCTCACCTCGTCGGAACAATAAAACGAGTCGTAAAAATTTATTACTTTTATCGGTTGGCTAAACTTGGCTGTTTTCAAAGCACATTTTAAATGGCATTGCTCGTTGCAAAGCTGCATATCGTGCGGGTACCCCGCCAACCATTTTGTTTATGATATATTAGCGTTTACGAAGCGTTATAGTCGGCAAGGTTTTGTTAATAATAATATTGTCCCTGTGCAAATAATTTTATTGTAGTGTAGGGACTAAATCTATTTCCTAGTATTTCATATGTTGATATTTTCCAAATTTTATTCTCTTACAGTTTCTTACTTTAATCTAAAAATGTTCAGGACTTCCAGCTCCCCGTGTATTTATTTTGTATACTCTTTGCTCAGTAGTGTTTGAAGTTAAAAATGCAAATGTAAAATTTGTAACAAAATAATCGCAAGAAAGACGCAGGACTACTGCATAAAGACTTACCTAAAATCATTACACTTCCGCATCCGTTTCCGCTTCCGCAAAAGTTACTGTTCACATCCGTTTCAGCTTCTGTTTCCGTTATGATACTTCCGTTACATAGTTAGTAAATATTATATATATATATAGAAGTTGCTAAGCGCAAAAGTGGGCTTTAACAAAAGTATTTTATCTTGAATTTCGATGTGTTGTGTGACCTTATTTTATTTTTCAGATGAATCAGAAGACAAAGAAGAATGCGAAGGTAATAATTGCGACAAGTAATAGTCGACCGTAGATACAGATACAGTTAAATAAAAGTTAGCTTAGGTAACAACATTCCGTAGTTTATTGTTTCGTCACCTCACAAAATTACATAACATACAACAAATTGGTTCTGATATAACTCGAAACATTGAAATAAAACAGATATTTAAGTTAGGTTAGGTTAGACCAGGTGGTATAAGTAATTAGATATTTTTATCCAGTAGGTACTAGAAATTCTATATCTGTACACGCACACGCGAGAAAATACACCTACCGAAAACAAAGAACGGGGAATTCCCTGTTCCGTTCGGTAGACACGTCCTGCTTGATTGATCGCAGGGTTGCCGAATTTATGATCCGATTGTTTTTTAATTTTAGATATTATTTTTCTTCGCAATATTGTCTATTGTTTTCAATGGAAACCGGGGGGCCTTTTGCATCCACGTGGTCCTGGGCTGCAGCCTAAAAAGGGCTTCAGTAGATCCTCCTTGTAAATAATATTTTAGTACAACTGTAAGGATAGATATACAAGGGCAAAAGATTAGTATGCTTAGCTTTGCAGATGATTTAGCAGTATTAGCATCTAGTAAGGAAGAGTTGGAGATAGCTTTAAATAAAATAGAAGCGGTATTGACAAAACAGTACGGTTTGTCGTTGTTGCTGTTGTCATCTCTCGTAGCTTAGTGGTCAAAGCATTGGCGCGTAAGTAAATAAATTAAGCATTGAAAAAAAAGTAAAAAAAAGCGAATATAATGATATGAGACGAAAAACTAGAAGAAGTGGCTGATTTTATGTATGTAGGAAGTCAGATAAGTCAGGAGGGAAGGAACGGTAGGGACATAAAGCAGAGGATAGCGCAGGATCCAGTCGCCTTCACTAAAAGGAAGTCACTTTTATGCTCGCGAATGGTTAATTTAGAAATTCGAAACGTACTGTTGAAGGCGTATGTTTGGAGCGCGACGCTGTACTGTGCGAAACATGGCAATGAGCGCGGAGGGAAGAAAAAGGGTAAAAGCGTTCTAAATGTGGTGTTACATTTGAATGATGAGGATCGCGTTGATATAGAAGGTTAGAAATGAAGAGGTATTAGAAAGAATAGGAAAACAGAGGACTCTTTGGAAGTCAGTAGGCGCGGTAAGTTGGTAGGACACCTTGTAAAGCATGAAAGAGTAGTCAAAGACATATTAGAGGCAGAAACAGGAGTTAAGAGGAATAGAGGTAGACCTAGATTAGATTACTCTTCGCAAATAGTTAAGGATGTGGGCTGTTCTAGTTTTAGGGAAATGCGAAGATTAGCTCAGGATAGGAAAGAGTGGAGTGCGTGTCCATCAATCCTAGGACTAACGACCTTATGATGATGACATTCGAGGTAGCTAGTTTATTTCAGGTAATCTGATGACTAATCAAAAAGAAATTATTATCTGCTGGCAAGTATAAGGAAGGAAAAATGACGAAACAGGAATTATTGGTTTTAGTGACAAAACATAAATAATTCCAACATGTACCTGTGTTTCATAAAAAATTTTGAAGCTTTACCCATTGTAGTGAACAGGAATAACTGACTCTTAATTTTTACGTTGATATAAATAAATATCTGATCTTTTCTTTTTAGATTCCGACTGGTTTTACGGTATATTCTAAAAAATGAGCAGTAAGTAAAAGTAATTATACTATAAGGTTAACCAATAGTTTAAATCACTAATATGGTGTTGTTGGTACCAAAAAGATATGGCAGATAAAAAAGCATTTTATCCGGTTGAAGCAACATTAATTTAAAAGACACTGTCATTCATTGTAGGCAGTTGAAAACAGTTCATATATTTCTCAAATAGCAAAATTATTTGATGCCAATAAATAGGACACATCTTCTGTGGATTTAATTTTTATTTAGACAAAAGTAGGGATAGATATACAGGGGCAGAAGATTATTATGCTTAGATTTGCAGATGATATAACGGTATTAGCATCTACCAAGGAGGAGTTAGAGACAGCTTTAAATAAAATTGAAATGGTATTAACAAAACAGAACTATATGAAAATAAATAAAAGTTAAACAAATATAACTGGAATGCAACGGAAGAAAAAGTAGTAAAAGAGCGAATATTAAGATAGGAGACGAAAAATTAGAAGTGGCCGATTTTAGGTATCTAGGAAGTCAGATAAGTCAGGACTGAAGGAGTAATAGAGATATAAAACAGAGAGTACCGCAAAGTCGATTCGCCTTCAATAAAAAAAGACACTTCTATGGTCGCGAACGACCAGTTTAATTTAGAAATTCGGAAAATGTTGTTAAAGTTTTATGTTTGGAGCGCGACGCTGTTCGGGTGCGAAACATGGACAGTGGGTGCGGCGGAAAAGAAAACGTTAGAAGCGTTCGAAATGTGGTGTTAGAGGCGAATGATGAGGACACCGTGGATAGAGAGGGTTAGAAATGAAGAGGTATTAGAAAGAATAGGAGATTAGAGGACTATGGAAGTGAATAGGAAATAGACGAGATGGGTTAGTAGGACACGTCAGGCATGAAGGTCTAGCCAGACACATATTAGAGGCAGAAACGGGAGTTGAGAGGGGTAGAGGTTGACCTAGGTTAGATTACTGTTCGCAAATAGTTGCAATATAGGAACGTGGACTGACAACTCAAAACCAGAGCTGATGAGATTCTTCATGGAGAAATACATATTTTCAGACCTTTGCTCCTCTTTCATAGAGCTACAAACTATTTTATTTAAAGATACCCCACTGACTGGTGAGTTGTTTTTTGTTGCCATTTCGACCATTTGTTCATGAGACATTTGCCTTTAAATTTCTGACACATTGACGGCACAATGACTGAAGAAAATATAATCTAAAATCAAGACGATAATGTAATTTATAAGTAGAGAACTTCATGGTGAAACAGTATAAAAATATAAGTTCTCTTGTAGCGACAGTCTGATATTTATGTAGTTCATATATTAATTGTAAACAATCATTTGTAAAAATAAACGTAGATATGGGATACCATCCGCCGTCCAATGAAAAGACGTAGAAGTAAAAGTGAGCGCTGGCTACCCCATACATATTATGCATAATTATGTTGTGTGTTGGCAACACCACATAACTTACGTGGGAGTACCCTAATACTCATTTGATAATTCGACCTTTAAAATTTGACTGATCACAAAAAAAGCAATTATTGGATATTTAAAGCTATAAGTCTACTATCATTACAATAGGTTGTTTTTTCCACAGTCAATTATTTTTCGTAAGAATGTAGGGAGGAGATTTAGGGATAGGAGAGTGACATATGGAGCAAGGCGTGGAGTTAGAGAGTTTGAGAAATATCGTAGAGAAATAAATATTGACAAGGATGAACATTGTCACCGCTACTTTTTTATTTGAAATCGATCGAATTGACATACAGGAACAATTGATTAGCACATGTTTGTGGATGATATTGTAGTATTGGCATCTAAGAAGGAGAAAAATAGCTTTAAACTAAATGGAAGCAGTACTGACACTTACTAGACTGCGCATGACAGTCAGAAGCGTTTCAGATGTGATGCTATAGGTAAGAGAAAAGTTAGAAATGAGGGATATTAAAAAAAATAGGAGAACAGAGGTCGTTACGGAAATCAGTAAGAAATAGGCGCAAAGCAAAACAAGGTAATTATCAAATGAGAGGATTCTGACATGAAGGGGATAGTTATTGTCTTTAGAAATTGCGATATGTTTGATCATGTCATCATGTCTCCATTATTCGATAACTGTACAGTGGGTATAAACACAATAACCTCCTTTAGAGGAAGTACTAATTAGTCAGATAATATTATTTGATACTTTTAGAGCAATTAAAACATTTTGAGCCTGTAGGTTTCTACTTCAGCAATCGAACGAGTTTACATAACATAGCGGTCAAAGAAAATTGACCATCGGATGAGTTTTGAGTAGGGATCGAATGAATACGTAGATATGTTATTCATCTAGGTTCGATTCTGGGTCGGTCTGCTCTGGTCCAAGTTTTTCTATGGTTTCCTTGGATCACTTAGACAAATGCTGAGGCAGAGCGACTTATTATCCCTATTATCTGGCATAGTCCGAAGGTATTGCCCACCTAACCGTATTTGTAGCTGGTAGGAATGAAACACCCAAATGTTTTTAAAGTGACACTTTTATTATACTTTTGTTTACTTTCTCTAGCGATGTGTCCCTTCCAATGTCTTGGATGCGCGCTGGCAAAATCGGAGGTAGGGAGAAAAAAGCTCATTATACTCTTGACTCTTGTTCATTAAACATACTTTTTCGTACACTACTTGCCTAAAGTATTGTTCAATCATAAATAGTTGTACGAGTCGAAAACAAGCTTTAAAGCCTTTAATATGTATTCAAATATAAATAAGCATCTCGTTCATATATCCAGTAGTAATTGGTACCAATAACAGCACTTTCGAACAATGCAATTTTAGTGGATAAAATGGTCAATTTCTCCATGCAATACTATACGAATCATATGCTCCTCACCGGTTGAGAGTTTGGCCGAGAGGTGTCTCTTTTCCTTTTTGACCTAGTGCTGTTCTTTTCTACTTTGCGCAGGTCAAACTAAAAGTCACATCGCTAGAGAAAGTAAACGAAGTATACATCGCCTCAAATTTTTTCGTCCATCTATCGCATGTCGCATTACAGCCGGTCGCGGAGTAGGGGTAAAAGTGAAAGGCGCTCGGTAGAGCAGCCAATGCCAATACGGCGGTGCTCATGGCTCGCATGAGCTAACCGTGTAGCATTTATATTCTCACTCATTCGTGCAAGTGCTCCGCGGTATTTGTGTGTTTTAATCGTGAGTTGGATATCTTGTCTACTATTGATTTCCCGTAATCATTCCTACTTTCCAATCATTATGATAACATTAAGAACACAATTTTAATTTTACTACTTTAAATGGAATAATTTTCCGAAAATTTAACGTTAAATGGTTACAATCTGAAAAGTTTCACTTGCATCGTGGTTTCATAAAACCACACAATTTTTTTTGGGCTTCTTAATATTTCTTTCTTTCCAGATTTAGTATCTCGTTATGCGTCGACCATTTAGCTCTGACAAAGACATTGTGTACTTTATCCAAGTACTTCTATAAAAAGTACCTATGCAACATCAATCTCCAATACTACTGCTACTATGTTTGGCTGAAAATGTTATAAAAACTTAGTTACTGGCCTGATAACACGTCAATGTTCGTCGCAAAAATTTGTATAATCATCAACAAATTCAGTTTTTTCTCACGGTGCAGCTAAAACAATATGGCGACACGGTTCCTTTTCGGCTGACTCGTGGAGAAGTAGGGCGACTTGAGTTTATCTGAATAGCCCTCTCGATACATTGGTACATTACCGCTTATCCCGTCTTATCCCGAATCTCGTTTTGCGACGGTCTCCTTTGTTTATTTGCCCTACATAATTTTTGGATTTGTTCTAGTTCAGTTTGTAATTAACTTGTTTTAATAACTAATTATTTACTTCCTTACTTTTTGTTCTTAATTTCAATTATTTATTTCAGGTTATTCGATGTGCTCAATATTATATGGACCATAAGATGAATATTGTTTACTGGGATTATTAAAAGTAGTATTTGTGTTTCTCTTTGTTGTATGGGATTACAAAATTTAAATAGATGTAGTTTGCGTTGTTTTGTGCTTTATTCATACCCGACATCCGTTCTTTATCTACAAATGACATGTAATAAATACAGATCTTAGATCATAAATGCCAGGTGGCAGCAACCTATAGTAGAAAGGTACAGTACTGCAATGGTGATAGGAATGCCTTCTCTACCTAGCGTGACCTGATTAGAACTCCTCTTCAACGAGACGTAGAGCATAAAGAAACTAGAATAGAGTAGCAGCGTGAGAGACAACACTGCGTAGTATTACTCTGTGCATCTCTCTCTAACTTGACTCGAGTTTCTGGCTATTGCCGGCGAGGGCACGATAGCAGCAACAAATTTTCCTCATTAATCTGAGATAAACTGTAGAAGATAAAAAAAAATGTTTCCTATATTTATTGATCTCTTATTTTTGTGCCTCAAACGTAAAATATATACTAGGGTCAATTGAAAAGTCTCCGGCCTGACACATAGATGGCGGCACCAGAACTAAATCCATATGGTTTTCCGTTAGTCCTAACCTTCAAAAGACGCGTCTATAAATTTGACGGCTGTCGGATCATTACTAGTCGAATTATAGCATTTTTAGTGAAGCAACTTTTGTTATTGTGAAAAAAATGGATAAAAAGGAATTTCGCGTGTTGATAAAATATTGCTNGAATCGTGGGAATGGGTGGGTGGTGGTTCGGGTGAGAAAAATGAGACGGACGAAATGAAGACAGAAGAGAGTGAAAGATTATCTGTGGAATATTACTGCCTCAGCATTTGCCTAAGTGATCCAACCGGCGTCCTCCCGAATGCTAAGCAATGGTCTAGACCTCTAGGCCATGCCTGTACTGAGAAAAGTAACCGCTATTTATACTAAACCGCAGTACTACGTGAGTGTTAAAATAAAGAGGGGTTAAGGGAGGGGCGATGAGAGAAGGGCAAAAATTAACGATAAAAACGATTTTAACGCTGATTGCGCTGTGAAAAATGAAAAAACAGAGAGTGGAAAACGATTGGGCATGCATGAAAACGTACGGATAGAAAAAAGAAACGTAACTCTAGGATAAAGATAAACAAGGGGTAATTCACGTAGATGGACAAAGGTAATTAGGGTAGCGACGTATTAGGATAAAGCGGTTGTTACCGCACGGTGCTTATAATTCTGAGAATAGATTTCGTAGTAGGTAAACTCCATATCAACGTTACCCGAATTAGTCAATTAGCATTATTGTCCATAGAATCTTTCTATTGAATACAATCAACTTCAAATTATCTTTTTGCCTTAGTAGGTTTGACTAAAAATTACAAATAATAAATCATTGTTCTTATCAAGAACTTTTGTTTGGTGCATCTATCACATTGCTGATGTTTGTCTTCTAGTATTGAAATAAAACTAATGGAAATGAATTTTTGTGTTTTTCAGAATTTGCAAAGAGGGATGAACAGAAGAAAAAGAAAGGTAATATTTCATTAATTAATATGGTTCCCTGTAAGATGCTTTTCTTGATAATACATTTAAAGCAACTAACTAAGAGAAAAGCGCAATTAGCCCAGTAAAAATAGCCTTGAAATCGAAATTTTAAATAACATTAACCTAAATTTCCATTTCTAGACCATATAACTCCATGTAAGGTGTAAACCTCCTCAACCCCCGACAAGGGGTTAAAAAATCTTCATCGTCGCAAAGTCGTAAGTCCCAAGACTGGTTGGACACTCACCTCAACTCTTTCCTATCCTGAGCTAATCTTCACATCTTCCTAAAACAAGAACAACCCACATTCATAAGTATTTGTGAACAGGAATCTAATCTAGGTCTACCTTTACCCCTCTTAACTCCAGTTTCTGTCCCTAATATGTCTCTGACTAGACCTTCATGCCTGAGAAGGTGTCCTACCAACCTATATCTGTCCTATTTCTTATTGAATTCCATAGAGTCCTCTCTTGTCTTATACTTTCTAATCCTCCTTCATTTCTAACATTCTCTATCGACTGCATCCTCATCATTGGCTTTTCTTTTCCGTCACGCCCATTGTCCATATTTCGCTCCCGTACAGTGCCGCGCACCAGACATAGACCTTAAACAACCTTTTTCGAATTACTAAATTAACTGTTCGCGGGCATAGAATTGACTTGTTTGTTATTGAAAGCGACTTGATCCCTACTACTTCTTCCGTCCAGACTTATCTGACTTCCTAGATATCTAAAATCAGCCATTTCTTCTAATTTTTCGTCTCCAGTCTTTATATTCGCTCTTTACCTGCTGTTCTTCTCGCTTGCATACCAGTATTTTTGTTTTACATTTATTTACTTTCATGCAATACTCATTTGTCAATACCGCTTCCATTTTATTTAAAGCTATCTCTAAATACTCCTTGCTAGATGCTAATACTGGTATCAGCTGCAAATCAAAGAGCATTAAACTTTTTCCCCTGTATCGGTATCTATGACTGCAGTTGTATTGTTTTTAATGATATTGATTGCGACTTCGATTTTTAGATTAGAAAGTAATGGTAACAGTGTGCATCCCTATCTGATTTCCTTCCTGATATTTACTTCTCTACGTTGCAGTCCCATCTCTATAACTGCATGATGCCCTTTATACAAACTAAGTATCACTCTTCTATCTTTGTCACTACCACATTCCGCTTATAATCCTCTAGAACTTTCCCCGTCTTGTAAATGTGACTAACTAGCTTATGCATACGATCTCTAACCTCTTGTCCTGAGTGTTTTAGAATTTCTCCCTGTATCCCACCTACACCTGGCACCTTATTATTCTTTAAGTTTTTTAATGCTACATCGAACATTTCTCTCATTATGGGATAACCAAGCTCATCTATCTCCACACGATTTTCCTTCTCTAATATATCTCCTAACTCAGGGCCTGCGCATAGGTTCTCTAAATATTCTTTCCACTTATCTGTCTTTGCCTCATGTTTGTCAAAATGACCCCTGCCTCATTTCTTATATTATTAATAGTGTACCCTACATCTCAAAAATTCCTGTTAATTGTATTATACGCCTCATCGGTTTTACCTACTTCAAACTTTTCTTCTACTTCTTTACATTTTGCGCTCTTTCCCTACTGTTCCCTAGCTGCCCTACACTATCTAATTATTTCCCACTTTATAGCCTTATATTTTTTTTGTCCTTCTTCGTCTGTCCTGTTTTTGTATTTCCGCTTTTCTTCTATTAATCCTAAAATCTCATTTGTTATCCAAGGTTTCCTGCTTTGGTTTTGTTTAAGACCTGGTATATCTGCAGCTGCTGACTTTAGGCACATTTTAATGCAGTTCCATTCTGTCTCTATGTACCTGTCAATCGTTTCTCCCGCCGCCTTTAGTATTTCATATGTCATTTTTTCCTAACCTATCACACGTTTCGTTACATTTTAGCTTTACTAAGTCAAGACGTCTCCTACCTTCCCTCTTTTTCAGAATTTTCAATTTAAGATTGATCTTCATAGCTGCTAAGTTACGATCGCTATCTATATCTACTCCTGGATAAGTCTTACAATCCTTCACTTGATTTTTAAATCTTTGCCTAACAAGTATGTAACCTAAGTGATATCTCCCTAAATCACCTGGCATCTTCCACGTATAGCACCTCCTAACGTGATGGTTGAATAAAGTATTCGCGACGGTTAAGTTATGTTTATCGCAAAATTCTATCAGCCTATCTCCCCTATCATATCTATTGCCTAATCCAAAAGAACCTGCTATTGCACCCACTTTACCTTCACCTATTACTGCGTTGAAGTCTCCTACAACTATTAGGTATTCCTGTCCTTTCACTAAACTTAACACGTCTTCTATATCTGCATAAACTGCTGCTACGTCTTCATAAGTGTAAGATGATGTAGGCATGTAGACCTGCACTAAAACCGTTCTTACCGGCTTTGAGTTTAATTTAACCATAACTATTTTATCGCTTTTTTGTAAAAAACTTTCTACACTCTGCCGTACTTTCCTACGCATTACAATTCCTACTCCCGAATTACCTTCCACCGATCCTGTATGTATTACTCTGAAGTCTCCACTCCAGAAGTCTCCAGCTTCGGGCCAACGAACTTCACTAATACCTACTATATCTAATTCTAATCTATCTATCATTAGTGTTACAACAGACCTTTGCTTTCGCTTCCGCAATTACGGAAGTTCCGCATCACATCCGCTTCCGCATTAGGCTCCTCATTTTTATAACGGAACTTAACAAAATCTTGTTTCTCACCTCGTCGGAACAATAAAACGAGTCGTAAAAATTTATTACTTTTATCGGTTGGCTAAACTTGGCTGTTTTCAAAGCACATTTTAAATGGCATTGCTCGTTGCAAAGCTGCATATCGTGCGGGTACCCCGCCAACCATTTTGTTTATGATATATTAGCGTTTACGAAGCGTTATAGTCGGCAAGGTTTTGTTAATAATAATATTGTCCCTGTGCAAATAATTTTATTGTAGTGTAGGGACTAAATCTATTTCCTAGTATTTCATATGTTGATATTTTCCAAATTTTATTCTCTTACAGTTTCTTACTTTAATCTAAAAATGTTCAGGACTTCCAGCTCCCCGTGTATTTATTTTGTATACTCTTTGCTCAGTAGTGTTTGAAGTTAAAAATGCAAATGTAAAATTTGTAACAAAATAATCGCAAGAAAGACGCAGGACTACTGCATAAAGACTTACCTAAAATCATTACACTTCCGCATCCGTTTCCGCTTCCGCAAAAGTTACTGTTCACATCCGTTTCAGCTTCTGTTTCCGTTATGATACTTCCGTTACATAGTTAGTAAATATTATATATATATATAGAAGTTGCTAAGCGCAAAAGTGGGCTTTAACAAAAGTATTTTATCTAGAATTTCGATGTGTTGTGTGACCTTATTTTATTTTTCAGATGAATCAGAAGACAAAGAAGAATGCGAAGGTAATAATTGCGACAAGTAATAGTCGACCGTAGATACAGATACAGTTAAATAAAAGTTAGCTTAGGTAACAACATTCCGTAGTTTATTGTTTCGTCACCTCACAAAATTAC